AAGCCTTTTGGATAGAAGAGAAAATTTAAATTATTGAACCTCTTATTTTGGTCTCCTTCACCTCATGATAAAGCAGCTAAGCTAATTATAACCAGGCTGAAGGCAGTGGCACTTCTAAGGCAAAAGCACAGGAACAGCAAGAAAAGCAAAGGAGAGGGCAGAATGAGAAAGATCTTGCTATTCCCAGAACTTGCTACCCTTGAATCTTAAAGCCTTGCATCTCAATGCCTTTACTGTTCCCTCTTCCCCGAAGGCTCTTTTACCAGTTATTTGTGTAACTTAACTTTACCTATCTCCTTTGCTTAAATGTCACCTTCTATATGATGCCTGACCCACCCTTATTAAAACTGAACCTCTCCCCACTTTCCTCCCTATTCTGCCTACTAGCTTTATTAAACCCCAAAGCTCTTATCATCATCCATATAAAAGAGATTTCACCTGTTTATCTTCTACCCCCAAAACGTAAGTCTCCAACCCCCACCCACACTCTCACCATAATATAAGTTCCATGAAAGAGATTTGTCTGTTTTGTTTGTGTGGTATCCCCAGTGCCTAAAATTTTGCCTGGCATATATCAGCTCTTCAAAAATTTTTTGATGAACAAATGAAATGAAAAAATAAGAGTGGCAAGAAAGCCCAAAATTGTGCCAAGAGTCAGTTGGTGGTAGCAGCGATTTTGTATCTCTAGATTAGAGTACAATCTTGACCAACTATCCTGTGTACAATCCTTCAGATTGGGAAGATAAGGAGGAATGGGAGTAGAACAATTACATTTGTATTAAGAACTACAAAGAGTTGAGTACTTTTGCATTTTTTTCTCCAAAGTAGGTTTATTATATATTATCTAAAAATACCCCAAAAGGCTGAGCACAGTGACTCACACCTATGGGAAGATCACTAGAGGCCCAGAGCTTGAGACCAGTATGGGCAACTAACTGAGCAAGATCATCTCTACAAAGAAAAAAAAAAGTAGCTGGGCATGGTGGAGTGTGCCTATAGTCCCAGCTACTTGGGAGGCTGAAGTGGGAGGATAGCTTGAGCCGGGAGTTCAAGGAA